TTTTTTTTTTTTTTTTTTTTAAGAAGAGACTTAATTTTGCTTTTGGGAGAGATTATCAATAAATACCATTTTAAAGTTCTACGTTAAAAAGTTGTTTCAGTTTTGCAGGATGACAAAAATTCTAGTAATAGATGGTGGTAATGGTTGCACCATGTTGTGAGTATACTTAATGCCACTGAACTATACACTTAAAAATGGCTAAAATGGTAAGATTTATGTTATGTATGTTTATTGCAATTAAAGATTAGAAGGTATTCATGAAAAATAGCAAGAAGGAGAGGTAATTAATTACTAAGCAGCAGCAGAGCAAATGAATATTAATAAAATAATTCAACATTTATATGGGTCCTGACATGATTTGCCCAATTTGCTGAGGAAGTTAAAATAACTCTTCATGTTCTTGATAGTAACCAAAGAAACAAAGGAGCAAGTGAAATTTTTTAAAGGACAAAGAACTAGATACATAAATATAATGTAGACGTTCAGAAAGCCAACTTGATTTAAACCTATTTCTTAGTTTTATGTATATACACATTTGCATTTGAATAAGCTGCTTATAATCTATCGGATGTAATTGGGATTGGGTTTTGTTTTTAAGCTGCTGTGCCTTATTGGAGAATCTTTTGATGACTACAGTGATGATGTATGTGGAGCTGTTGTTAATGTTAGAGCTAAAGGTGATAAGATAGCAATATGGACTACTGAATGTGAAAACAGAGAAGCTGTTACACATATAGGGTAAGTTTTGTTCCTTGTGTATTTCTTTTAAAATATTAAGATAACCAAAAGCAGAGTACTTTTATTTGTAGCTTTAGAAATACTTGGATTTGAAGATCATTATTTTCCTTGCATTGTTTTCATGAACACTTTTGTCTATTTTGTCATGTAGCATATTATTTTATCAAATGAGAAAATAAGTCCTTTTCTGCTTTAAAATTGTAGTGCTAAGTGTGTAATCCTCATAATGCAGTGAGTATTGGTGAATATTATACGTGTGTTTTGTGCCTGTGTGTACAATGTACATAAAGTTTTAATTGAAGTTTAAGTGACACTATCTTGGTTTTGTCCATATTTAAAACCCACATGTCTAAGCTTTAAACTTTTTTTTGGGTAAATATTATTCTTTGCAAAAATTGCCTTTTTTTCCCTCTCTCTCCAAACATCAGTCAGTGTTAACTAGGGTTTTCTTCTTACTACATTTAAATTAGTAAGATTTGATTTTAAATTTTGTGTTAAAATTAAGTATTGGTCATAGGTCATAAAATGTTTGCTTTGCCCTTTGTGATTTTTCAAACATCAATTCTCCTATGAATCTTTTTTTTTTTTTTTAATTTATCTTTATTGATTTAAGAGAGAGGAAGGGAGAAAGAGATAGAAACATCAATGATGAGAGAGAGTCATTGATCGGCTGCCTCTTGCACGCCCCCAACTGGGGATCAAGCCCGCAACCCGGGCATGTGCCCTGACCGGGAATCAAATCATGATCTCCTGGATCATAGGTTGATGCTCAACTGCTGAGCCATGCCCAGCTGGGGTCCTATGAATTATTTCTGAATTCAAAGGTAAGAGCATGTTCCAGGTCTCATTCTGTAGGTTTCTATAAGAGAGGAGATGGTTGTTGATTTGCCATCATATTTCTCATTTTTCTGTCAGCATCAAAACTTAATGCAGAAGTTTATATTTCTTTGAAAACAAGTTAAAGAAATTACGTGAATTTTGTTCCTCAGAAAATTTTATTTGTGTCAAAAGTTTTGAAATCTTTATAAAACATTTGACTTCCAAGGACAGATTTTTTTTTTTTCTTTTTCTTTTATGTCTTTCCAAGTTGTGTGGCTCAGTGCCCTTGCTTTCTGGCTTTTTTTAAATGATTTAGTATAATTGAAAGGACTACATTGTGTCATAATGTAAATTTGATAATATTATAATTTTAGTTATCATAAAATTGTTATTAGATGCCTTCATCGAGGGAAAGTATTGAAATCTTCTTGATGATGGAGTATAAGTAAAACTGTCTTAGTGTCATATTGGAGCATTTAGCTGCATGAAAATGTATATCCGTTTATTTTTATTTAATTTTGGTGCTTAATTTTGAAATTTTAGTATTTTTTTCTTAGAACTAACATCCAGCTTCCTTGTCAGCCTTATCTTTCATATTCCTTATTAGTTGTACCCACACAGCCTTATTTTTGTTGCTCAGGCTTCAAGATGTGCTTCGTTCTCTTGGTATTGTACTTTTGACCTCATGACTTTTAAAAGGGAGATTTCTGTAATTTCACAGATGAGATTAGCTCCTTATTAGTATCACAGCTCCGACCGATACTTACCCTCTTTGGCACTTAACACATTTTGTTCTTAAAATAGTGTCATTTCTTACTTGAGTTAGGTTGTAGAGTTAGTATATATCCTATATAAGGCAGAAATCATGTATGTCCTAAATTGTCCAGAAAGTATCATAAATTGCCTTCAAAGTGTTTACTTTTTGTGTGTGCAGTTGTGTAAATAAGTATGGTAAATGTAATTGTGCACTTATATACACTATTTACTAATCTTTATATGTAAAATATAATTGTAGCATTTTATTTATTTTTAATATATCTTTATTGATTTTGGAGAGAGGGAGAGAGAGATAGAAACATCAATGATGAGAGAGTCATTGATCAGCTGCCTCCTGCATGCCCTCTACTGGGGATCGAGCCAACAGCCTGGGCATGTGCCCTCCCTGGGAATCAAACTGTGATCTCCTGGATCCTAGGTCGATGTTCAACCACTGAGCCATGCCTAGGTCGGCTAATTGTAGCATTTTAGACCAGAGAATTAAATAGACTTGTTCATGTAATTGATTTTATTTTTTAATTTTAATTATAATGTGTTACAGCTCCATCATGTATATTTGTGATTGTTTGTAAATAATCAAATACTATAAAGACAGTGCCCAAGGACTGTCCCTGCTTTGCTTATTACTGATTTATTAATAATTATCACAGTACCTGATACACAGTAGACTGTTAAATATTGGTTAAACATATTAACCAAAAACAAAGAATAAATTTTGCTAAAAGGAAAAGGGTATGCGATTTCCTTTTTCACTCTCTAGCCTAGGTATTTTTCTTTTAGCATAAAGAATGATAATNTTAATGTTAGAGCTAAAGGTGATAAGATAGCAATATGGACTACTGAATGTGAAAACAGAGAATCTGTTACACATATAGGGAGGGTATACAAGGAAAGGTTAGAACTTCCTCCAAAGATAGTGATTGGTTATCAGTCCCATGCAGACACAGCTACTAAGAGCGGCTCCACCACTAAAAATAGGTTTGTTGTTTAAGAAGACACCTTCTGAGTATTTTCATAGGAGACTGCGTCAAGCAATCGAGATTTGGGAGCTGAACCAAAGCCTCTTCAAAAGCAGAGTGGACTGCATTTAAATTTGATTTCCATCTAAATGTTGCAAAGATATAAGAGAAGTCTCATTCGCCTTTGTCTTGTACTTCTGTGTTCATCCTTTTTTTTTTTTCTTTTTTTTTTTTCTNATGTTGCAAAGATATAAGAGAAGTCTCATTCGCCTTTGTCTTGTACTTCCATGTTCATCCTTTTTTTTCTTTCCTTTTTCCCCTAGAGTGTCCACTTACCCAATCAAAGAATGACAGTACACATCATCCCCAGGATCCATAAATGTGTTTCTGGCCCATTCTGTAATAGCTAGAAGAATTACTATTACAAACACATTTTACCCATCCACAATATTTTTTAAAAACTTGCATCTCTATACCCTACAGGAAAAGAATTCTGTTTATGTTCCATTGTATGCAGGAGCATATTTTGCTGGTTTAAAAGAGTATGATGCATACAGTTTTCTAGCAATTTTCTTTGTTTCTTTTTACAGCATTGTCTTTGCTGTACTCTTGCTGGTGGCTGCTAGATTTTAATTTATTTGTTTCCCTACTTGATGACATTAGTGATTCTGATTTCACTTTTTCATTTGTTTTGCTTTTGTTTTTTTTTCCTCATGTAATATTGGTGAAGGATCCAGGAATATGACACAAAGGTGGAATAAACATTAATTTTGGGCATTCTTTGGTAATTTTTTGGTTTTTTTGTAACTACAAAGCTTTGCTACAAATTTATGCATTTCATTCAAATCAGTGATCTATGTTTGTGTGATTTCCTAAACATAATTGTGGATTATAAAAAATGTAACATCATAATTACATTCCTAATTAGAATTAGTATGTCTGTTTTTGTATCTTTATGCTGTATTTTAACACTTTGTATTACTTAGGTTATTTTCTTTGGTTAAAAAATGGCTCAAGTAGAAAAGCAGTCCCATTCATATTAAGACAGTGTACAAAACTGTAAATAAAATGTGTACAGTGAATTGTCTTTTAGACAACTAGATTTGTCCTTTTATTTCTTCATCTCTATAGAAGGAATTTGTACTTCTTAGTGCAAGCCAGTCTCTATTGTGTCTTGTAGTGTCTTTCACGTGAACAGCGTAAGTTTGGAGCACTAGTTTGATTATTATGCTTATTACAATTTTTAACAAATTGAATAGGTAGCATATAATATGGAATTAAATCGATATGACTATCTTTGTTTTTTATAAAGTAAGGCACAGTCCCTCAGTCTTAGGTAAATTATATACTCTTAATATGTTATAACTCTTGAGAATTGTGATCTTGGTGCATCACTATTTGATTGGTAGGGATAATAGTTGTAAAACTTGGTTGTTGAATTGAGATGTTCTTTTGTAAGTGTCAAAATGGTAGCACTGGGAAAAAGTACAGGTGGTGGGGGCATATGCATTAAGAATTTTGTTAGTGTTGCTGTCTAAATAGAATGGAATAAGACATTTATATTGGTAAATTGGTGTAGTATGGTTTTACGTAAACTTGAAAACTTGATCTGTTCTTCGTAGGCATCATTTTAAAACAAATTTGAAGAACGTATATGTTTCAGATTCCGTAGAATGAAATATGGCTATCGTAGATAAAAGTGTAAGCCGAACTGTAGGTAGAATGAAAATCATTAGTTGAGAAGAAAATTTATTTTTAAATCAAAATAGAAAAGCTTGATAAAAATCCTATGTAAAATAAACATGAAATTAATAGTATTGATTTCATTGAAGAATTTTAAAGCAGTTTACAGTGTACCACAGGCTACCATCTGAGTCCTCTTGATACCACAAACAACTCTTGTTCAGTGTTCTAGAAATACTCTTTGTTTATAATCTCAATTTATTGTACCTAATATCTGCTGCTTAATCTTGAGTGATTGGTTAAAGTGATTTATTGTCTGTTGATATGTGTAGTTGTGAGCACTTCAAGAGCTTGCTTAAAAGTGATGGTGGTGTGTCAGTGGGTGGGATTGGAGTTAGTATTTATTAAATATGAATGCTCTGTTTCCTTAATTCTAAGATGCAGTCCATTTTAAGAAGCATCTGCTTTCAGGGGTGGAGGAAGAATAATGCATTTAATGTACATGGTTCTAAATTTTAAAAACCCTGACTTAAGAGTACTTGATTATCCTATCATTGCTATTTGAGAATCACAATCAGTTTTATTTTAACTATTTTATCCCCAGTGGGGAAGAATGAAAAACTATCTGAGTCACTTTTGCAAATGCCACTTAAAGTATTACAGTGATGTGCAACTTTTAATAACTTCATTAACATCTTTTCTAAATATAAAATTTGAATCTACATGATTTTCTAACCTTTCCCTCCCTATCCAATAGGACATTATAAATGAATATATTTTCATAATAGAGAAATAATCTTTAACAGATGAATAGTAAGGAATTCATTGTAGGGATGTGATATATTTAACCAGCTTAATTGTTAATCCAAATTCTACAGAAGGATTTAAGGCATACTATGTAAGAATTAAATAATTACAATATTTATATAGTACTATCTGCCAGGCAGTGTCCCAAGCACTTTACATGAACTTTAACCTATATAATAATCCTTTACTATAGCTGCTATTATACCCATTTTACAGATGAAACAGGACCATATAGGATTTAACTTACTCTACTGCTTGTAAATTGCAAAGTATAGATTTGAGTCTGGAAATTTGGTTCCAGAGACCCTATAAATCACATTATACTCTCAGCAGTGTAGATTCTAATAGGCAATAGTAAATCGCACCCAATTGTACTCAGTTTATAGGCCAGGTGTATACACATTTCAACTTCCTTTGGTAATGAAATTTACAATAGATGGAGAATCTCCCTGGCTTACTCTTAGCAATCAACTAATCATTTGAGGAAATTTTGAGAACATGGTGACAGGTACAGGGGTTTATAGGTTCAGTGAATGTCTTTATACAGTTTTACTTATCTATATCCTATTCTAAGATAAATGGCAAAATAAAGCAAATTTTTCAGGTTGATAGCAATTGAGATTCTTAAATGCTAAAGTTTGCATTTAAAAAGGATAATTTTAACTTTGTTTCAAAATTAAGTTAATGACAAGTCTGCAACTTTTTATCTCTAATTGTCATGAATTGTCTTCATTGTTGTGTAGGGGAAGAAAACAACTGAATTTTCTGAGTCAGACCCTCTATACAAATGCAAGGTTTTAAGTCAGATTGACATTAAAAAACAAACTATAGGTCAGTGCCATCCAGTGTGTCTGCACTAATATAGAAATTGAAAGTGTCTCGAAACTTATACAACAATTTGATATTGCTGTGATATTTAAGTATGTGATCATTTTTCTAATAATTTTTAAAAAATATATTCTACAAAAGTATGGTTTTGACAGTGCGATTTGTTTGAGAAATAATACTCTTAGGTTGGTTTCCTCAGTAGTCAAAGCCAACTCATTTGCCCATTAATCCCTAAAGCAACTGGGTTTGTTATCTCTCCACTCATTTCCCTCACAACTAATGGACTTGGCGTTAAAACTTCAGTGCCAATCTGTAGCATCTTTCAATAATATTCTGTGGTATCCTGCTTACTGTGAATTGCAAAGTAGATGTTATGCTGCCTTCCTAGTACCATAAGTATTTTTAAACTTTAATATTCTTGTGACTTTCTTCCATTGCTGGAAGTAAAAATGAAATTGTAGGCATGCAATCACGTGACTGTCTTTTCCAATTTAGAGGAACCAATTTTCACATTTTAATTTTGCCCCCTTTACTTTAGAATTTATAATTCCTCATAGTTTTTGCACTTACCATGCACTTTTATGTTCCCACTTTTCCTTCAAAAATGTACTGAGTAACTATTTACTGTGCTCTAGGTGCTGAGCAGAAAACAAAATGGACTGGCCTCCGCTCTAAACTTTTAAAAGTGGACATATATTCAAAATAAGTCTCTTCATAAGGTTCTACAAATAGTTTTGTCATAGAAATAGAAGTTTTAGGGCTTGTCCTACTGCAGATTAGTAGTCTAGGAGTAAATATAAAATGAGGTTGGTTGCTCTGAAGACTCTGAAGACTCTTCTAATATTGAATCTAAACAGATCGTCACATTATAGGGGGACTCAGCCAAACCCTCACATGCGAATTACAGCTTTTGCGAGACTTAATTTCTACTTTATATTACTGAACTCCGTATGATTTTCCAACTAAAGTTATGTGGCTCTTTTTTGGTTATGTGATTGCACTTTTTAAAAATATCACCGTTTCATTTAACATGCTTTTTGAGCTTGATGAAACATTTTAAATGTGATTGTGTCTGCATTGGTGTGACATTATAGATAGCAATCATCTCTCTAGCCATCTTCCCAAAATACTGATTGTGTTTTTTTCTTTAATGTTTGACCAAACATAATATATGCTTATTTTATTTTCGCTACAGAAGAGTAGAAGGTGAAAATTTCCTGTCTCCTTCAATCCTACTCTTCTTTTTCAAGGTACCACTCAGATTTCTTGTAAATGTCTATAAATTTTTTGTGCATACACCAGATACATGTGTGTGTGCGCATGTGTGTAACTTTGGGCACAATTTTGTTAGCATTGTTTTCTCATTTTTACATGTCATATCATAGCACATGTAGAACATCATTATTAATTAGTGATTCATTATATAAATTTATGCCTTATTGGATGACGGTCTTCCTCCCTCCCTTTCTCCCTCCCTTCCTGCCTTCCTTCCTTTTTTCCTTCCTTTTCACTTTTGCCCCAGCGTAAGTTGTAGTCTTATCTTCGTGCACCATACTTTTTTGGTACATATAAAGAAACCAGCAGTACTAAGTGTCACTTATTCTCTACCCCTTCCATACCCAGACCATTTTAATTCATATATGTGGATCATCATCAGTTTTATAATTGTGTTCTACAGTGCCAAGTTGCAAGTTTGTAATTTTGGTCCTTGTGATATTTTTTTGATTGGGTTTTAATTGCTTTATTTTTTTTTAATGAGCCACCATTGTTATAAATATGAGTAAAATTGTTTATTTGCTTAGATTGTGCTTTTCCCAAAGATAAGAATAAGCTAGTAATTACTTATTTAAATAAATTTATCTTTATTAAGA